AAGCCAGGTACCTCGAAACAAGACTACAAAAGCTGCTCCCTTTAATTACAGCAGCTTCCCGGTGCCTCCGAGGAGGCGGCTCGGAGCTTTGCCGGCAGCAGCCACGTGAGGAGCGGGGATGAGCCGCCCTGCCGGGGCCAGGAGCAGGGAGGGATTTCTTCCACTTTTGAGGGCTTCATTTTGTAGGAGAGGAAGGTACATAAATTAGCAGGAATTACGGAGCTGTTAAATTGCGTTCCTTCGTGAAATATGTTTATTTTGTAGCCAAATGATGACTCCCTCACCGGCTTCTTTGCCGTTGCAGAAACCTCTACTTTGTTCCATAAGGGATATCATAACCTTATTAATGGCTGGGTAATTTGTATAGGGTTGATCCTCCCTGTGGGGGCCCAGAGCCCCTCTGGGCGGGCGATGATGGAGGTTTCGGCACACCCGGAGATGGTCCAACCAGGAGCCCCTGGATCAAAACCAGCCTCCAGCCCCGCAGGACTGTTGACTCCCTGTTTCTGGAGGCTTTCAATCCCCTTGTAAGATGCAAAGCATCCAGCAGTCGTCAATCCTCATGGCTTATCTTGGCAGCCCGAGGGATCTCCCGGCGGAGGGGTTCTCCCGGCAGAGCCCTGCCCGGACCTGCTGGAGCTGCTGCTGCTCAGCTGACCAGCAAAAACTCGGAGCTAGCTGTTTTCTGGGGACATGCTGCAAAGGTTTCCAGCAAGTGCTGTGTCCTGCCATGACAGGAAAACAAGTTTTTGTTGGACCTTGGAAATAAATAAATTACTTGCTGAACCTCCCCGCTCGGCTGGGTAGGGCTGTGTCACAGGGGACCGATGAGACGGTCCAGAAGCCTGTTGCAAAAGTAAAACCATTGCAGGTGGCTTAAAAATCATACTGTAATTGCTTGAAAAACCTCGCTTTTGAGGTCATCAAGCATCAAGCGTCCCTTCTAGCAGGAAGAAGAGCTGGGAGCAGAGGCCGTGCAATGGGGTGTTCATCTCAGCGGCTCCTATTTACACCTTAAATTGCTCGTGATGGGCTTGTCACAGCCCCCCGGGAGCCGCTCGGCTCAGGCGCCTTTCATCCTCTGGATGATGGCCCTGTGCTTGCTGGGCTCCTGTAGACAAGGAGCAGCCAAGGGAGCAGAAAGGACAGAAGCCCTCCTCCATCTCCCCTGCTGCCGTCTGCCTCGCTGACGACAGCAGATGCGGGCAGAGAAGGTGCAATTAAATATAATATAGCATAATGGCCCAGCCTGCCAGCAGATGCCCATGAGATCCATTCAGTGCTGGACTTTTCAGGCGCAGGAGTGATAACGTGGAAGAAAACGTTGGGTTAATTTGAAAATAGGTCAACGGGATGTAAAGATAACCCCGCAGTCATCTGATTTCAGAGAGGCTGCACCGCGCTCGGGAAGGGAATGCATCCCCCGGCTGATTAAAGTACCTATAAGGGGAAAATAGGAGGACAAGAAGCTGCTGGAGATTTATTCTGGAGTAGGCACAGCTGGTGGAGGCAGCTGGCGGAGAGGCGAGCTCGGCGCTTGCATCCACTTGGATTGAAGCTGCTTCGGCTGCTCCCTCCCAAAGGGGAGCGAGGGCTGAGCCAACGCGCTAATCCTGGGTGTCGGGATGCGACAAGCCCCCGGGGCTGCACGAGCACCCGGAGGTTTCTCCAGGAGCTGGGGTCAAGCAGTTTTCAAAAAGAAATCTCTTGGCTGCGCTGGCTGAGACAAGGCATTTGCGCTCATCAATTTTATTTGTGTAATTTCAAGCGCCATTAATAGTACATGGCACAAGGAAAAATCGGGGAAATTTCACTCCAGCCATGAGTGAAATTGGGTTTAGTAGAAAATTAGTTGACTTAACTGGCAAATGATGAAAGCTTGAATAAAGAATGTTTAAATAAGGAGGACTGAAAAAAAAAACCCGCCCCACCTCGGAGGTGCAGCCTGGATTTGCATGATTGGAATATTAAAATCAGAAGTTATAAAGTGTTTAGGAAGGATAAGGGGTGTAAATGAGAGAGATGCTCTGCTTCAAAGATGCCAGTCCTGCTTTTAGATCTATTCTTGCCTCGCAGCCTTGGTGCTGGGATTATAAATGGACGTGGCAAGTCACGAACACCCCGAGAGGGGATGCGCGGCAGATTGCGGTGCCGAGGGGGAGCTGGGGGAGCCAGACCTGCTCTGCCTAACTGGTGGAAAGTTTTTTGGAGGCTTCGGTATGAGATACACTAATTGCCGTCTCCCGCAGCCCCTTGCCAAGCTTGGTTAGGGCTTTTTAAAATTACGGATGATTTTGTAACGCAGGGGCTTGTGTGATGCCTATCAGTGAGAGGGTGGGGTATGCTGGAAGAGAAGAATTATGATTTGGGGATTTTCAGTTAAATACAAGGTAAAAAACCCGCCTTTAGCCAAAATTGAGGGGTGGTTTGAGGGGCACCCAGGGGAGCAGAGCACGAGGTGCTGCCCGGCCTGGGGGGTCAGCAGAGCTGTGCTCATCCTCCAGCAGCGAAGTAATCGTAGCTGTTGAATACATGTTCCTGATGACTGAGGAGAAAGCAGTACATGTGCTAGCAAATGTGATATTTAGCATTAAATCTCTATAAAATCCTGGAGGTTTTTACTGGCTTAAAAGTTCCCCTTCTGCTTCAGCCTGCCCGGGAGGGGTGGGTCTCCTTGTTGCTCTATTTATTGTACTGAGGTGGCTGTTGGAGGTGAGAGCCTTTCCATTCCTGCCATCTTCCCAGTCAGCCAGGTTGTGTAAAATTGTGCATAAAAGTGGTAAAACTGCCGCCCGTTTCCCCGGCCGGGCTGCCCCGAGCTGACGCTTATCTCCCTCGTGACAAGAGCAACGAAGCGGCCGCAAACGCGGCTCTTTGCCTTAAATCGAAATTCTGTTTTCCCTGCCTTTGGCGAGCGATGTGGTTCCACGGTTACTCGCTCTCTGGAGTCACAGTCATGGTCAGGAGTTTGGGATGACCCTTTACCGGTCTCAGGTCGGGATGGGGCTGGAAGAAGGATCCTGCTGCCCAAAGCTGAAAGGCTCACAAGTCATATCGGAAGAAGAGGGAGATACGGCCAGGAGCAGACCAAGAGCCCTTTATTGGAGCTATAATGGCCAACCGGTTTCACTGGCTACACACGACCCTTCTGGTGGTGTTGGTGAAGACTGGTGAGAGATTGGAGGGCAAATGCTTGTGATAACCGTATAACTTGGCAGTTCCCGGGGTGGGAGAGCCATCAAATTCCTCTGCAAGCAGCCATGGGATCGATAGGTGAAATGCTGTGCGTCGTCGTGGGTCTGGGCAGCGGATGAGGACCTTATGGAAGTGCTCCTCGAAGGATGGACCCTTGGACTGTGGGTCCGTTTGAGCTTCAGCTGGGTGACAGAGAAAATCCGGGTAGGGCTGGAAAGAGGATTCTCAAGTTCAGAAGGGGAAATGCAGAGAAATTAGGAGAACCAGTAAGAGAGGTCACAGAGTGAAGGCTTCAAAGCCTGGGAATTTAAAACCCGGCCGGGCCTTTTATTTCTAAGAAAAGGGAAAACACTGATGAGGCGGCTGGGATAAGTTCCCATCTCCAAAGAGGTGCTAGGAGTAAGTGAAGAGCCCAGAAGAAAACACAGACAGACAGACATCTTGGCAGGCAGGAGCGAGGGGTGAGATTTCGCACTGCCTGAGCTCAGACTTGTAAAATAAAACATAAATCCCTCAGCCCCGTTAGAAGGACTGAGGACAAAGCAGGGCGACTGCGTTGTGGGAGTGTGGCAGAGCCCGGGCAGACCAAATTGGCTCAACATTTTGGTTTTCCATGAGGATATTGCTGCTGCTCTTGGGGTGTGAGTGGGATTATGAGGGTGAGGATGAGGAATTACTGTCTTTACGAGGCAAAAAATACAAGAGCATTGAAACTGGGGGGTGGATCATTTGTATTTCTGAGCAAACTGGCACTCAGGAATCACAAGTACACGTAACAAGGATTTTTGAGAAACCTGCTGAAGCGGGAAGGTGTCACAGTTGGTTTTTTTCTGAGAAGGAGGAGGCAATGTGGTCCAGACGAGCAGATGGGCTGTCAGGCTGACATCAGTGGTACACTTAGTGGAACAGCTTTGGAGAGGGGGATTCATCAGTTCACGGAGGCAATTGAAAATGGAAGCAGACACGCTGCAGGTTTACCAGCCTTGTATCGTGCCGTATTAATCACGTATCACCTTGGCAGCAACGCAACTGATGATCTTGATAAAGAGCTTGCAGTCGATCGAGTTTATCTGGATTTTCGTAATGCATTTTATCCGCTGGAGGAGGGAAGCGGGGCTGAGTACGGCTGCTGTAAGGAACCGGCTGAAAACCCACTGGGCGAGACCCCGGGCCCAGCCACCCTGCCTTTATTGCGCTATTTCGTAAATGGGACAAAAAATGGGGGATAGTAACGAAGTGTGCACAACATCCAAAGACAGGCAGTGCCACCAGCATCAAGGAGAATCTGAGGGTGCTCAGGGATGCGGTGGGTACCTGGAGTAAGGACTGGAGTAAGAGAAGGGGTGCGTGGTGTTTGCAGCGGGCGGGATACGGGACTGGGAGCAGGGAGATTTAGGCTAAGCTGGGAGCCTTGCGGGCAGGGAGGAGGGAAAAGTGGCTCTGCAAGTCTGTCGCTGGTGTGATTGCAATGAAAGCAAACGAAATCTGGAGAGGTGCGGGGGGTGTTGAACGAGATGCTGGTGAGCCTTGGCTGCGAACGCTGTGCAAAAAGCCTCATTGTCCGTGGGTGAGGGGCAGGAACTCAGCTGGAGCAGGTGCAAAGATGGGGAGGGACCAGGACTCCCCAAACCCTCCCATTTTTGGCCCAAGAAATAAAGACTGGGGAGAGGAGAACGATCTTCCTCCCCCTCCGTCACCTGGGGAGCTGTCGATGGCCCCTGTTAAGCGTCGGGCAGGGAAATGAGTGGTTGTGTTGCAGGGCTTTCATGGTGCTGGGGGGCTGATCTCCTCCTGCTTCTCCCCAGTCATTTAGGGGTGCCTCCAGGACGGGGAAACTGCCCCTTGACCAATCCTTTGCCTTTCGACCTGATTTACACCGACTACCACGGTCTCCAGCAGATGAAGCAGCACATGGGGCTCTCCTTTAAGAAATACAGGTAAGCAAAGCCACTCCCTTCTCTTACTCTCCATTTCACTAATTAGCAAGCAAAGACTAATGCTAATGACCTCGAAGGGTAGCCCCACATCCCAGGAGTTGGACCCTTTGATTGCACCTTTGATTTTTGCCTTGCTCTGCCAGCTGGTGCTGTGCTGTGTCCCCGGCTGCCGTGGCACGAGGAGGTCTGCTTGCTCCAGAGCCTCACGTGTTTAAGATAAAACCTCATTAGAAGAGACTGAATTGGGGAAAAAAAAAACCCTGGGTGTGCCTGCGGTGCAGGTGTGCTTCCAGGTACTGCGCCTGCAGACAGGGGTGGCCACCCCACAGAGGAAAGCACGAGCCTTTTCCATTTGCAAGAAGCAGAGCCCCATGCCCGGCTCCTTCGGCATCAAGACAAATGTCATCATCCTCTGGTACATCATCAGCCAGGAAAATATGCGATTTAATTTAGTGCTGATAGTCCTGCTATTTATTATGTTTTCTCCCATCTCTTCCGCTATCCTACGCAATTTTATTAGAGAGAAAAATGACAAGCAGGGTTATTGCTTTTATTATAAATGCATTTGCTCTCGCATTCAGCTTGTTTTGCTCTTCCCTTGCTTGATGCTCCCCTTTTCTTCTCGGTCTTGTGCTGGTAATGCCTGCCTCAGCATTCCCAGGATATTGGGAAAAGCATTAACAAGTCTTCAGGAGATATGTCACTCTCACAACCGTCAGGGAGATGAAAGCCCTGCAAGGGGAGATTGCTCATTTCGGGAGGGAGCGGGGGGCTGGGAAGGGCTGCTTGGGATGTCCCTGCACCCTCTGCGGGGGGAGCAGACAGGGGATGAGCTGCCCGGGGACACCAGATGTCCCTGGCAGCGGGACGTTCTCGAGCGGAGCTCCTTGAGGTGTGACCACGGTCCTGCCTCCTCTCCCAGGTGCCGCGTCCGGGTCATCGATACCTTTGGGACGGAGCCGGCTTACAACCACGAGGAGTACGCCACGCTGCGCGGCTACCGCACCAACTGGGGCTACTGGAACCTGCAGCCCACCCAGTTCATGACCATGTTCCGTAAGTGGGGGACGGGGGCGCAGCGGGGCGGTTTCGGGGGCTCGCAGGCACCGCAGGAGCAGGTCTCGCCTCCTTCGGGAGGTGACGCACGGGCAGTGCCGTCCTCCCTGGCGCCGCGCCGGCTTCCCCCTGCCTGCTTGGCCACCTCTTGGGCTATGGAAACGTTCCAGGGCAGAGAGACCTGGCTGCGTCCTCCGTGATGGGTGGCTGGCTCCAGCCCAGCCCGGGCCAAACACGGGGCACAGCCGGGAGCTTTTTTTCTCCCGGGACGGGAAACGCGGGGTGGTTTTGGTTGCGAAGCCTGGTTTTATTTCAGCTGGGGTTCTAAAGGCAGCTCAGTGATTTGGATCTGCTTGTGGCAAAGAAAGGAGATGTGCTTGGTGAGAGGAGCCTGGTGACCTGTTGGGTGCTGGTTAACTCAATGTTGCTTTTTTCTGGCTGGATAGAACCCATTTGGATGCCTTAAAAATGCCGTACCTTTTAAAGAGCCACTTGGGCAGGTTGCAAAGCCTGCGTTTTATGAGCTGCTTGGATGGGGAATCATATCACAGAATCACTAAAGTTGGAAAAGACCTTTAAGATCATCAAGTCCAACCAGCAATCCAACACCACCATGTCCACTAAACCATTCCTGAAGTGCCACATCCACATGTTTTTTGAACACCTCCAGTGATGGTGACCCCACCACCTCCCTGGGCAGCCTGTGCCAATGCTTGACCACCCTCTCGGTGAAGAAAGTTTGCCTAATAGCCATCTAAACCTCCCCTGGTGCAACTTGAGGCCATTTCCTCTCGTCCTATCGCTGGTTACTTGGGAGAAGAGACCAACACCCACCTCACCACAACCCCCTTTCAGGTAGTTGTAGAGAGCGATAAGGTCTCCCCTCAGCCTCCTCTTCTCCAGACTGAACAACCCCAGTTCCCTCAGCCGCTCCTCATAAGACTTGTGCTCCAGACCCCTCACCAGCTTCGTTGCTCTTCTCTGGACACGCTCCAGCACCTCAACGTCCTTCTTGTAGTGAGGGGCCCAACACCAAACACAGGATTTGATGTGCAGCCTCACCAGTGCTGAGTCCAGGGGCACGATCCCTGCCCTGCTCCTGCTGGCCACACCATTGCTGATACAGGCCAGGACGCTGTTGGCCTTCTTGGCCACCTGGGCACACTGCTGTCAACCAGCACCCCCAGGATTTCCTCCAAGCTCCAGCAAGGCTCTGGAGCCAGGCTTGTCTCAGCCCCTGTGCTGCGGTGGGGCTGAGTCCTCAACCCTGATGAGGTCCCCAAAAACATCTGTCCAGCCATGCGTCTTCTACCCTTGGTGTCCACAGCTCACACCCCCGACAACTCCTTCATGGGCTTCGTGTCGGAGGAGCTCAACAAGACGGAGAGGCAATTCATCAAGTCCAACAAAGTGGGCAGCATGGCGGTGGTCTACGGGAAGGAGGCCAGCATCTGGAAGGTGGGTGTCCTCGGCGCTGCGGGGAGCACCCAGGCGGGCAGGGGCAGTCGTGGGCAGCGCTGCGGGGTAGGAGCAGCCTCTGGCTCTCACCCTGAACTTCTGAGGCAC